GTCACTTGTATATGTATGCTGTGATGTTGTATTGAAGAAGCAGGAGAAGATAGATGACATCTTGTGTGAAAACATTACTGCCAGAGAAGATTTACTAAGCCCCGAAGAGTCAAATTGGTAATATAAATAAGGAGCTGGATAAAGCGTTCAGTGGTCAAACAAAGCAGAAAGGCTTGTAGGCTAGTGAAAATAAATTGAATACTCGCGCTTTTCATCATTTCTTAATCATTTTGTAGCCCTGCTTTGCAACACTGGAAATGCCCACCTCACTTTGGCCTCAGTGAAGTGGAATGCCAGCCCTGTTGAGAGACAAATTTAGGGACAATCATATTAAATTGAAGATTGGAGGGCGGAGTGGGAGTGTCACCCCTGCATTATCCTTCATGGTAAGAGATACTAAGCATGAGGTTTTCATTTCCAAACGGGTCATTCCTCCTGAATGGTTTTGTCCTGACATTTGCTATGGTCATGGTGTGGTACCTACGCAGTTATGGTTGCCAGGCCAGTTAGTGAAGTGTGGTTGCTACAGTGGTTGCTAAAGTTCTTTCTGAGCTTGTATCCTCAGACTTAAGGTAAATGGAGATATAGAAGCAGCTGCCCCACAAAGATGCTGAAAAGTTGGGAAAAAGGAATAAGATGCTGTGTTTTTAAGCAGAAAAGAGAAATGTAACACTTTCACATTTTGTTTTCCTTAAAATTTATTTTAAATTGGGTGAGACAGCCTAGGGAGAGGGTGCTTCACTAGATAGAGTCATAGATTTTCTACAGGAAGGATGGCTTTGCCTTAAAATGCTTCTACTCTAGCTCATACCTCTACCAGACTGCTGAGAGGTGAAGAATTTTAATTGATTTAAAAGAGTTGTCCACACTTCTAGGTACATCTATGGTCTTATTCCATACACTGGACTAGAGTTTTCAGAAACAGGAATACACTTGGGAAAGGACAGAAGCTTTAGCAGAAAATCCAGTAGTAGGTGAAGTCTCACTAAAATGCATTTTTAAACTTCTTACGGATATAGAGTTTTAACTCTGCAGCACCAGCAGTGAGGGGACACTTCAGTAGCATACCAGCATCAGTGTCACGGAACAGAATAGGACATCCTCAACCAGCACGAGGTTAGCAGAGGGGGGCTAAGCTCACTGAGATTGCTTTCCAGTGAACACCAGCAGTGATCACAGAGGAGTGACTTCAGGTGCTCTGATATGGTCTCTGGAAAAGCCTTTCCAGAGGCTTCTGGAGCTATGTGAGGGGTGTAGGGATATTCATCTCCTTGGGGTTGACTTTTGCAGCCTGTCTCCCTGGTTTGGGGAATGGTTCCTTTCTGGTTTAAATCCACTGCCTCCTATCAGTGTGACTACAGTGACATTAAAGCTTGAGTAATTTTCCATCTGCCATTAGCAGTACTTTTCTAATTAATAGGTTTAATCATTAATGTTCTAAGGAATATATTAGAATATTAGTTGTTTAAATATTATTCCAAACTGTGCTTTAAAAAAGCCAAGTTTACATCAATTTAGTAAGATGGCTGCAATGAGGAAGTCTATTTATGTTGTCCTGTACTGATGTTCCATGCTAGGCAGCTTGTACTTAGGAAATAGAAAACAAAATTTGGCACCATGAGAAGGTTGGTTAGTATTAATTTAATGATGAGGACAACAGTTAAAATGATAATTTTATTAAAAGACAGTTTATAGGATATGGTCAAACTTTGCCTGAGTTTTGCAGGGATGTGGAAAAGCAGTTAATTGACGCCATGGTATTTTATTATTCTTATTATGCTCTATCACTAAGGAAAACTATCCTTTTAAAACCAGTCTCATTGTTACAAACACTTAACAGAAATGAGTTTGAGTGCTACTACTATTACTGTTATGCTGCAATCTGGAGTTTTTACACAGGTAAAATTCTTAGTAAGGACTAAGGGCCACCTCAGCTTGGGCCACCTAGTGTTAGTTAATTCCTTACTCCTAAACACTGAAGATATTTCCCAGGAGCTCTGATCAAATACAAAGACATTTTGTTGTCATACAACTTGGATCCTAATTCATTTTTAGACTCATTCACCATCTTAACAAAACAGCTAAATGTTAAACTAGGTGTTTGTCAGTGTGTCTCGTTTGAGAGACATTAATAAGTTGTTATTCTGGGATACAGTTGAGATTCCTTGCATGTTTCCGTGATGGCTGCTGGGTTGGTTGGTTGTTTGTTTGTTTATTTTTATTTTTTTGTAAAACACAGCTGGAGGAGAAGGTACCTTTTCTAAGATAGATTAATAGTTAATCGTTCACTGAACGCCTCTCCCAAATTCTAGCTTAATTTCCAAATGTGCTGGATCAAAAGGTATGCCCTCACAGTAAAAATATTTGTGGAAATTTAGTTGCACACAGTAGTATTAAGCCCAGTATATTTTGAAGAAAGGCTATTGAAACAAATGGCCTACAGTAATGAATTATTAAGAAACACTGTAGGCAATACAACAATTTTAAAATTAATTCTATGCATATTACTTAAAAATTTGGATTCCTCTTTTTATTTAGAGCATTAAAGTGTCCCCCTTCAAATGCCCACTTTGTGTACTCCCAAGTGGAAGTGAGTGCTGCTGATATAAAATGCTGTAACTCAGCTGCTTGCTGAAGTAAGCCTCTAGGAGGAACACATGACTTTGTTTGTCTTTCCCAATAAATATGGAGTTTGGTTTCTCACTGCTGTGCTGATGTTTAAAACTGAAAAGCGTGGCTCAGCTACCTGTGAGAACGCTTGTCCTTCCATGATGACTCACTTTACTGGGGTCATGAAGCAGTTTTGTCAGGAGAAAGAGCTTTTCCTGCAGTTCATCAGCCTGACACAAGACACTCCTTGCTACATCAGTGCAAGTGAGCCTCGCGCTCACCTTCTGAACTAGATGGAAACCCTGCCTCTTGAGCCTTCAGCAACTCTGAGGAAAAAAAAGCTACACAGTCTGAATTAAATCACCCCAAATCTTGTCCTTTCGACAGGACCACAACTGGAAGAGATTTCTGCACTCGCATTTCAGAAAGAGCACTGAGAGAACAGGGTTGATGCAACCGGATGCATGGTGTTTGCTAATTCTGTTTGCTTTTTCCCTGTCTGACTGCATCAAACAATTAAAACCACTAAACACTGAGACCCTATGGTCAGTTCTATGCAGATGAACTGATGGACTTGAACGAAGTCAGCTATGAGCAGTTTTATGAATGAAACGGTCTCAGATGCAGTTTTTCTAGGAAAAGGGGATATTCTGAGAGTGATCTCCCTTTTTTTCCTTGTCAGGTTTTGCTGCTAATTTTGAGAGTCCATAAATTAAAGGAATTAGTGTTCCCAGTGCTAGTGTAGTTTGGGTAGGGATCTTCTATAAACGGCTTTTAAATCTGTTTGCAAGATGCACCTCCTAATCTTCTTAAAAGGATTTTGACAAGAGAGTTAATGCTTATTAGTACCTGTCAGCTAGTGCAGTCAAAAAAAGGGAATGGGTGAAAATCTTGCTTGAAATATTTCAAAAGGGAGCTGTTGTAGTTGATTGTGGTTTAAAATGGTAAGAGGATGTCACTGTGATGTAGAAGCAACTGCATACACCAGAGAGTTATTATTCTTATCTGTAGTTAATAAGGGTAAGTTGGAGTATAAATGAGGACAGAGATTTAATCCCTCCTAGATTTAATTTAATAAGAAAGATGAGAGACAGAGATTCAGTGTGAGTAGGATCTAGGCTTCTTCCCTGAGACAAAGACTTGGATCCCTTAAGTCTTTGATTCCAAAGAGGAATCTTAAATCCTGTTGTAAGGAGTGCTTAACGCTGTGGGTGTAACAATAAGATGGTAAAGATACATATCTGTGAACTTAGTCTTTGTTCATTGTAAGCTGCCTGACTTCTGTTAGTGTAGAAGCTCATCCACTGTCTTAAAGAACATATTTGTCTGTAAAATTAACTAGCAGCATTTGAGTGAGTGGTAGGTCTAATGATCACTGACAGTTGCCTATCTTTCTGGTACCCCTTTATACGTAAATGATTTCTGCACCTGATCCAGCATGATCTCCTAGGAATGTGTTCTGTTTCTTTCTGTGCTTGCGTAGTGGTAGGCATTTAGTCTGTTATGAAAGATTCTTTCTAATGCTGTCAGCTAGGGGTTGGCTTACCTGCTGATTCATAACACTTGATAATCACATTTAAAATGTATGTTATGGAGCTAATTCACTTTAGTTTCATAAATATGTAGTAGTTTTCTGAACCTGCTGAACTGCTGGTCCACATGCTACTTTATTGGAGGGATTTATACAACTTTGTTTTTCTTGAAATCTTGTTTTTTTTTAAAGGTGTTGCTGTCATAGATTTTAAATATTTAAAATACTTGGATTAAAACTCTTTACCCTTACCAATGAAGAGTTAATATTCTTCCGTGCATATTTAGTGTGTCTGACATTAAGAGACAGAAAGTGCATGAAAGAAAATGTACTTATTAAAGTTGTCTTTCTTGTTTGCAAATGAGAAGATAGAACAGTCAAGTTAGTTTGTACCCAGTAAAATGCAGAAGAGAGGTATGGATATAGGAGTTACTGCTCATATCTAAAGCTTTTCTTTTAGACACATAGAGAACTTCTATTTTGGACACCAGTTCCACAGACTTCTTGTATGTTTGGACATCTATTTATTTGTGTTCCCTTACAATCTTAAAATTAGACATCGTTATTAGCTCTTTAAGATAAGGACTGTATCATCATATGTACTTTTACAGTAATTGCTACAGCACGACATTGGTGCGAAATGAGTATTCTGGACACTACGTGTGCTGAAATGATAATAATCCCGCTCAACGGTAATGGACAGTTGTTAAGATGTTTTGAAAGGGTGCCTGTGAAATGCATTTCAATTGGTTTATATATAGTGTGAGGTTTAATGCAAACATTAGTAAGTTTGATGTGTGCAGGTAGGGATGTTTCTCTGATAAAACACTTGAGAATTTTGCCCTTTGTTTTCTTGCAGACCTTTGGAACGTTCTAGTGAAGATGTAGATATAATATTCACACGACTGAAAGAAGTGAAAGCTTTTGAGAAATTTCATCCAAACCTTCTCCATCAAATATGCCTCTGTGGATATTATGAAAATCTGGAAAAAGGAATCACATGTAAGAGAGCTTCGTATGATGATCTATTTTATGTAGATAAAATTGGGAGTTAGGCTGGGATTGTCTCTAATGAGAGAGCACAATCAGTGGAACAGCCATAAAAATGTTGACAGTCGTAGTCATGGGGGAAGGCAGGACTAAAGTGCTGCTTGCTCTACAAATACAATATTTAGTGAATCTATGGTAACAAGGCACACATTATTGGATTTAGGACTCTGCTACTGTTTTGTTGAAAGATTAGAAGCAAGTCATTGCACTTAAGCCTCATTCTTTCCCTGTAAATGTATTATTGATCTCTTTTGTAGTGCTTTGTGATGTCAGGGGCAAAGATGTATCACCTAGGCATATTGCTAATAGCGCATGGTTTGCAGCTGCCCTGGATAACACAAGACAGATTTCCAAAGCTGCATGCTGCTGTGGGGTGCTTCAGCTCTGTGTCTGCTCTGGCAGCCTGTGTCCCAGATGAAGGTAGACAACTGTGCTTGGTCTATGAAGCTAAGATGGAAATAAGTGGTGGTCCTATGATGGGAATGTGTGAGTTCCCAGACCTGTACCAGAGGAATAGCTGATGGAGACCTGTGGTATTTAGTAGAGTCTCAGGTACCCCTCAGGTAAATCTGGCATGCTTTAGGCACACAGTACTGGGGTTTGCTTAGACTAATAGGAATTCTGATGCTCTGAAATCACACAGTTGGAATGTCTGAACATCAAAGTCCTGCAGTTGCTTCTCAGCCAGAATGCTTACTGAAGTCAGTGGGAGCTGTGTCTGCATTGAAAGGTTCTGAATTTCAAAGGGACATTGTTCAGAAAGTATTTTTTTGGTTTTATTTGTTTTGTTTATTAATTAGGATAACAGTAAAAGAGAAGGAAACTGGGGAGAAGAGTGAAGCAATTCTATGTGTTATCATTGTTTCTGTAGTGTATCGACCTATTTACTAAAATACGTGCTTTCCAGTGTCATTGGAAATTTTATTGTAATAGTAAGTAAGTAGTCTGATATGGCAAATTCTATAATGCCAGCAGTGACTACAGTGATATGAGCGAAAATGTTTGTTAATGTTGCTAAAGTTAAAGAGATAGCTCTTACTTACAATATTTCATCTTTCCAGTATTCCGTCAGGGTGATATTGGGACGAACTGGTATGCTGTTCTGTCAGGATCACTGGATGTGAAGGTTTCTGATACAAGCAACCACCAGGTAAAATACATTTTTCATTGAAACCATCCAGTCAGTAGTACAAAGAAAGGGTATGACTTGTGCTGAGGTAGATAATGGTGATGTGTATCATACAGATATTTTGTCTTATCACAAGCATGATTCTCTGAGTCTCCTTTAGTGTCAGTTGTCCTTTGTCTATGGAGGCAAATCATGCCATTGATTTCAAGAAAACTGAAATGTAATGCTCTGAAAAGGCTTCTATATTTTAATATGAAACAAGATGACTCTGTCTTTTGTAATAGTGCCATGTGAAGTTAGGCAAAAGATCTAAGAGTTATTAATTAATTCCCTGGAAATACTTTAATTCAGTCCTTGTTCAGAAAGTTCAGACTAAACCCATCAACAATGCAGTCTGATAATGGCATACTGCAGTCTCCACTGTGAAAATGAGAAAGTATTATAGTAACAGCAGAGTATTGGAACTGCTGCTAGCTGCTTCAGAAGCCTGGAGGTAACACCTATTCAGTGTTAAGAAATAAAAGAACAAGTAAAATTCCCCCCAAATTGCAAGTGATTTCTCAGTATTTTGTCACTCATGGATTTACAAAACTGGGAATTTAGAGTAAATAAATTAATAATAATAATAAAAAAAGATGTATTTCTCCTGGAGAGAGTCTCCCACTCATGTTGTCTAATGTCATGCTGACAAGTCATTCACTTCCTGCTGTAAGCTGAGTCTTCTGGGAAGGCATCATGTCCCATGCCCTGCTCCCATGCTTGAGGTCTGGGATTGTCCCATCATGTAGCTTAGCATGGGGTTGTACCTCTGACATGTGACTCATTGTGTCTTCACATGAGTGGCACAACGATCTGGGACCCAAAGTATAACACTACCCCTTTTTTCCATCTTAATTGATTATAGCATCTGTAGGGTGGTGGTATGTTCTTTGCCCAAAGTTTGGCTGATTGGAGGAGGCTTCTTGCTCATAGCAGATGGGCAGAAATTGGATTTTTCACTTTCTTGAGCACTGCATCACCAGTCAGACTGCAAGTCAGGGCTATGTGTGAGCACTGGGTCTTTCTACTTCTTAGGGTAAAATGACAGATACAAAAGGAACTTCTTTCACAGGATTATTTTTAGCAACCTCTTTACTGTACTAAGTAGGGACTAATTGAGAGTGTAATTAGCCTAATTTGAGCAATTCTCAGCATGGCCTGGCTGTCACTGGTATTGTCACATTTTGGAACAGTGCTGAGTTCTTATGAGATCCTTTTCTGTGCAGGCCTGAAGCAATCAGGAATATTTTCTGGTGTTTGCCAAAAGATGGCACTACACTGTTGTTAAGGACCAATGCTCTTTACTGAATCAGAAACATATCCACAAAAGTGTTCTGGATGTGGAAGTCAAATTAAGAATCTGTTTGGAGTCTTGATTTGTTCCATTAGATAGAGGATGGAACACTTCAGCCTTTTTAGAAATGTAAATATTTTTTTCCCGCTTGTTCATGTTCACTGCATTTTCCTGCCAATAAGAATCTACAGAACTACAATTCATGTAATTCTAGTTCTAGAAATTATATTCTGCAGTAGTTTCATAACCTCACATTTCCTTCTCACAGGAACAATTAACTGAATTCTTACCACTGCCTAGTTGCCATAGGATACAGCCTCACTGCCAAATGGACAGCAGCTAAAGCATTTACCGTTCCAGTGCTGGATCAGTTTGGTGGTTGGGGACTCCTAAATAGTATCTGAGTCCAATATTTTCTCTGGTTTTAATCCAGCTTGGTGTTTATTCCATGTCCCTCCTTGTCCATTCTTGATCTCCTGATTCTTGTCTTGCCTTTAGCTCCTGGGTGCCCTGTTTCTTTCTTGCCTGTACTTCCCTGTTGGCATGGTGCTAGTCTTTCTTGATCTTGAAGTACCTGCTAGCACTCCCTGCCTACTGTGCTCACTGCATACCCAGATGATGGAGGAAATGCAGGGTAGCTCCATAGTCAGGCAGCCCTGACAGACTCAGTTGCCAGCATTGTGCTCCCAGCTAGGAATGGATGACAAGTGCTTAAGATGTAGGGATGCTTGTGAGCTACCCTGGAGCCAAAGCTTCCTTGGCAAAGTCATAGAAATGATTAATTGTTCTGCTGTTACTATTGTACCATAAATAGCACTAGTGCTAATGAAAAACTCCAACAGAACAGAAGACATACAGAAGTTTACCTGAGTTTACAAATTTAGAAGTTTGTAGTCTTATGTAAAAGTACAAAAGGACTATGCCATCTTTTCTAGGAAAAGAGAAGCTAACTTTGTATTTAGGTTCCTACTGGTTAAAAAGTCTTTAGACATGACTAATAATCTTTTAATTCTTAAAGTGAGCAGGAGGTTGTACTAGATGACCTTCTGAGTTTTCTTCTAGCTTGAATTATCCTATGATTATACAATGATGCCTCCAGTGTTAATGTAACTGTGGAAAATCAATTATCTTGATTAAAAATGTATTAGTCTCACTTTTTCTAGGTGTTTATCTGTCTACCTGGGGAACCTAAATTTCAGCAAGTCTGGGAATAAATGCATTGTATAGCAGCTACCATGTACTAACTCTTTATGCAGTCACCTTTGTTGTTTGCTAGTTTTCTCCCATTAAAAGTGCAGTAAGTTATTGTACACTTGGTGCTTACTAAGAATGTCTTAATGGCTAAGAATGTCTCTTCTGTAGAGGCATGTAGTTACATGTCTTGCACTAGGTATTATATCTAAATGCACTAATGGATCAAGACTTCAGTGTAGCTAGTGAAATATTAATTCATACACACCCTTGCTGCACATGAGCTTACTCATACCGACACCTGTGATTTCTCACAGAAAATGTTAGTAGTACTGATTAGGACCAAGCTGAGAATTCATATAAACAGAAATACTAACATTACCTATTTTTTGCCATTATGATAAGAGGAAGTATTCTGTGTACTGATTTAAATGTTTTAATCAAGACAGAAGTGTTTAGGATCTCATAGATAAAGCCTCACTTTCATATTGGTTTGGAAAAATCCTTTCTGACTGCTTGCAAAACTGTATTGTGTCGTGAGAGGGCAGTGTTAGAATACGTAACAGAGTACAGGCAGTGTTTAATACTGAAGTGGCTAGTTTGAAAATCGTGTTCAACTATTTACAATATACCTGTTTTAAAGAGTTTGACCGGAGCAGATTTCTCTGTTACTGTTAGTAGCCTCAGTATTCCACTGAGGTGGTAAAACATGCTAGCTGATGATGATCATGATGGTGTTTTAATTTGCCATTGAAATGGAACAATACAATTTACAATACAGATCTGACAAGGTTACCCATCCAATACATATTGAGTGGTGGCTGGTCTGCTTTCTATAGAAATTATTTCTGAATTTTCTGGATATTCAATGGTCGAGAAGAGACTTGTTTGTAACAAATACCCTAATAAATAGTACTTAAAAGTCACACAAAGACTTGGCAAATCCCGTTCAAAATAAACAGAACATGCACCTGTTTAGAATCTATCAGAAAGAGATCTTTACCCCCAGTTATGAACATTCTGAATTTAACTTTTACTTGGCACTGTTAGCTACCCAATGTTATAACCAAGGTATATAGAAATAAAAGTTCCTTTTAGAGATATTCTTAGTTTGGTGTTGTCTTAAAAATACTGAACTGCCTTCTGTATCTTTAATTTTTGAACACTGCTTTGAAAATGAACAGGTTCTGAAGGATGACTGTTGGTCATGTCTTAGAATAAATCTGGGAATAAATGCATTGTGACAAAAGCATCAGTGTGACATTTTTGTCAGATTTTGCAACATTGTGTTTTACTGAGTTAGAATCAGAGCCTTTTACCACAAATGATTAAGATTTATATTCCTATGTGATGAGATGGGAAGGAATGAAGAGAAGAAACAAAGACCAAATAGCAATTTGATCTGCAGTTTTGCTGTAGTCTGCCAGCTATTGCTAGTTTATCTTGCCTGTTTTGGTGGTTTTTTAAACTGATCAGTTTTTAAAAGCAGACCAAACTGAACAGGGAGCACTGACTTTACAAACAATTAGCCTTTTTTAGAAGAGCTTTAAAGGAGGAGCTGTGGGTATTTGGATGGTACAGTGGGTATCAAAAGCCAAATAAGTTAGTGGGGCTGCTGAGAAGAATGACTGTGAAGACAGGGGTTCAGCTGTCCATGTCAGAAAGGGAAGAATTTCCTGGCTATTTGAGGACAAAGGAAGTATGTGATAAGATGAGGTGGAAACAAGGAAAGGGATTTAAACAGGACAGTCTTTGCAATACTACTTTCTGCATGTAAATGCAATTATGTATGCATGTAAATAGCTATTATGTATTTTGGAGGTAACCTGTGTGAAATCACAACATGGGTTTGTACTGTAGCCTGTAGTGTAGTGTAAATATGCCCAAGCTAACTTTAAATAATTTAGTTTGAACATGAGAACTGCTTCACCCATTGTAACACAGAGATTGGCTGGACTAATGTACTCAGCTGAGAAGCAGGGTGTGTTGGCCCATGCTGAGCTCCACAGCATTGTGGTTGTAGTAATTGTGGTTTTAGACTTAGCTTATTGAAAGTTAATACAGAAGAATCATTTCACTTCTTTCTGCCAGGTAACCTAAGAAAAAGTCCAAGACATTGCAGGTAGCTTTTAGAGGAACAGATAAAAAGGTATGTAAATAATGAATATGTTATTACAGTACAGTTAATCTGTTCTGTAAGTATTTTAATTAGGAACTAGAAGAGAAATTGGTCACAGTCTTTCTATAAGCCTCCTTTAAGCAAATCACCTTGTCTTGTGTAAAGAAGATGGCCTAACATATGTTGGCAAACCACAGTTCTAGTGTGGAAAGATACTTCTGTGTTATTGTTAAAAGTAGTTTGATAAGGATTTCCTATCTGAATGGCTGAAACATATTCCAGTGGAGGTAATGAAACAGGAAAATCACTTCATAGAACATACAGTTTACTTTCATGTGTCTCCTTTAGTTTCTCTGCTATAAAAGGAAATTTTTGCTGAGGACAAACTGGACTGTATCAGAGTAATCATAAACAAACTTTCCAAAATGTCAGCTTTTGAGGATCTCCAGTTAGACATGGAGATGGTATAGAGTCCTGGAGAGACGCAGGTGCAGCAGTGAGATAAAGGTACAAGATGTGGGGAAATAATGAAATTAAAAACAAAATAGCTACATCAACTCCGTTATAAACTCAAAACATTGAATAAACTAAAATGTCAAAGAGAAGTCCCCACCCCCTTTTAACCTAGCACTTAATTTTTTCCCCTGTTTTCCTCATTTCTCTTTCAGACACTATGATTTTGTTTACACACAGTACAAAAATTCTGTTTGCCAGGTTGGAAAATAGAAAGTGTTACAAATCAGGTGGGAGCATGTAGGGATGTGATGGTGGTGGAAAAAATAAGGCAGAACCTTGTTTCTGATTCTTCTCCGTTCTGTAGATTGATCTTACAAATTCAGGAATGTTTTAGATTGATTGGGGGGGGGAGGTTTAACAACTCTTTCACTGCATGTGTCTCACCTGCCAGTGATAGTCAGTGAAACTGAATACACAAACAGCCTCTGATGTGAATGCTACCATTTTATAGTGTGTTCAGAGGACAGATAGCAATGGAAACAATCTCATCTTTTTAAGTCTCTAATACTGCCTTTTAAATAGCTGTGTGAATTTTAGCTGGTTACCAGCAGCTAGAACCCCCTGCTGCTTCTGGGATTGCAGAGGGGAACAGCAAACTGAGTTTTGAGCTGCCAGCAATCCTCCTGAAGTCTACACTGAACAGCAGGAGATTCTTAAGTGTAAGGTTATCAGGTGTAATAGGAAATGCACACCTGATTCCCCGGGAGGCTGGAGATGTATAAACAAGGGGCAGAAAGGAAATGGGGCTCTGAAGTCTCGAAGAAGACAAATGGGCTTGCTCCCCAGCTGGCTGTGAAACTGCATCTCTGTGGAGAGCAAGGATGGCTGTGGAAAAAACCTGAAAGAACTTCCACTTGATAGAAGCCTGGACGTTTCTTTAATGAAAGTAGATAGGACCATTCTAGCTCCTTGACATAACGCCCCACAATGTTAATTTATTTCTCATGGTGAACAGCTGCCTCATTAGGAGTTATTTTAGAAAGTAGTTCCTTAACCAATACCTTTTTTCTCTTCTTCTCTGTTCTGTCTTTAAAGATACATTCTTTAGGGTTGTAAAGAATCAAAAAAGGTGAAGTGTTTCAAAGGAATGTATTTTTTTGCAGGGAGAGAAAGGAGTGAGAAAGAAGCTGGAAGATGTAAATATTGCTTATGATCCAGGCTATTTGGTTATTCTGCCCTAAGCAGAGGTCTTTTATCTGAACTTTCTAAATAAAGTTGAGACTAAGGTATTGGAGACCTAGAGATCAAATTTTGTGTAAGCATTAAGGCACATTTTCTTTGTAGCTCCTTTGAATGCAATTGTGAGCATGGTAGCATATAGTGTTTCAGCTCTGAAAGGTAACCTTGTTAAGGCTGTAGTGTATAGCCTGTATTATAGGCTGTTTGTAGATGTCTGCTTAGGTGCTCATTCTCAAATGTTCTTTCTGTTAAACAGTGCCTGTTCATATTTGCCTTCCTTGAAAATTGATTTCTGTTGGTAAATTCTTCCTAGATCTTTTCTAAGACATAATTGATTTTGTTTTCCTGAACACATAATTTTATATGGTAATATCTGTGCAAAGGCAATTTGGTATGGTTCAGGGAACTGGACTATTATGGACATTTGTCTTTGTAATGTAATTATAAAACTACTAACTTGATCTTAATAACATTTGCCTATTACCACTTATTAGATGCATGAAAGGAAAACAATGCAATTTTAAACACAGAAAACGATGCTGAAATATGCTCATACATCTGTCCTGGATTATCAGCCACAAGGATGTAGTGGATGGGATGACAAAATTTTATGCTTTTATTTTTGTAGACATTTCATGAATCCTACAGTTTAGAATTAAACTATATTTCTAAAGTGTCAAGTAAAATTAGCATGTGTTTTTGTATGTTTATGTGTATTTGTCTGTGTGCATGTATGACTTCCTTAGCAAAGTGCAGTTTGTATCAGTTTAAATTTTTAATGCTGTTGCTAATTTTTTTTAATTACTAAAAAGAAAGTCAGTTAAGGCCCAATGTAGAAAGAGACATATGTAAGTGTTCAGCTTCAAGCCTATGCTCAGGAACATAGCAGTTTGTAAGCCTAAAACAGAACGTGTATCTAAAGATCTTGATGCAGCAAGTTATTTAATTTCTAGTAGTCTGATTTTTTTGTCTGCAGTAGCTCATAAATTATGTTGGAACTACTACAGAGGAGTTCCTGGCCAAGAGGAATTGATTTTAGACATCTTTTCATCCCATGAAGAGCATGTGCTTATATAGACTCTTTTGAAGTAGACTTTACTGCATGTTTGGGACCATCCTGAATACTCTATTCCAGGTTGGCTTGGAATTTAATAATTTTCTTGAAATCCCTGATTTATGTGAAAATAATTTACTTTTTTTCAGTGTGGTACTGGTAGGCATTCATGAACAACTGAGAGATTTAGTGGCATTTTCAACAGAAAGGCCAAGGGTTGGTTAAACTGTATGACTGCATTGCTCACAGACCTTGTACACTAGGGAAATGCATTATAAATACAAGATGATATTATAATTTAAAGTTATGCTTACTGAGGAAACATAACAGTCAGATTTTCTTTCTGATTAGGGTAGCCTATATAGGGCAGAAATTTATATTCCAAGATTGCATTTTGGATGCTAGTTATCTTCTCATCACCTCTGACATTTCTAAAGAATCTCATCATCACAACAGTCTTTAGAGGTGGATGAACAGAGGTTATAACGTTCTTCCAAAGGTGAACGTGACTCTTGTGTTCTCTGCTTTGCAGACAGAAATCTCTAATTCAACTGATGGTCATAGAAAACAGATGTCCTCCTTGCTTCCACACTGAAACTTCCAATCAGCATATTGATTTTTTTTGTTGGCACTCTTAATTAATTTTCTTTTAAAGCAAATTGCTGAGGAATCTTAAGGCAATGCTATCAGCAAATGGAATGTGAAGACTCTTAAAACATCCTGGAATATTTAATGTGTGTCCTCTTATTTTTGATTCACAGGATGCTGTGACAATATGCACTCTGGGAATAGGAACTGCTTTTGGAGAATCCATTCTGGATAACACTCCTCGCCATGCTACCATCGTTACCAGAGAGTATAGTGAGCTCCTTCGAATTGAGCAGAAGGACTTTAAAGCACTGTGGGAGGTAAATTCAGATTTATTTGTAGTTTATGCAGAAAAAAGTGATCCAACCTTTTAAATGTTTATAATGAAATATGAGCACTTCTGTAAGCAAAGTAGTCATTCTTTTTAAGTTAGTTTGGACAAAAAGGAAAGTCTCTTTACTTCTTTTTAGTGCTTCATATTCTATGTGATTACATACTCCTGTATTCTTTCTTGTGGGCTTCTAATGAAATATCTTAGGTGAAATTTCTAGTGGAATTTATTTGTGTACTGCAGGTGTTGCTTTCTTAGCCTTAAACTTGCTTTTATTGCCAGCATTTATGAGGAGAGTCTATCCTTAATATACTCTGATATTTTAAATTATTTGCCTTTACTCCTGTCTCATCACCAGCTGTAAGGGGTTTAGAATTTCCAGATGGATCACGATCACTTAAAAATTAAGTTACTGATTACATGTGAATTCCCTTAAAACTTTCCTTTGTGGAGAACATACTGCTGAGGTTCTTCATTCTATAATCTGTGTGTACTTTGGTATCCGTGCTGAGAAGACTTCATTAACATGTGACTGTGCAAAGTTACTGAACTTCAATCAGCTCGTATTTTTGTAAGCGTTACACATGATTTGAAAAATGTTCTGGGAATTGGAAGGCATCCTGTTGGCCTGGCCTACACTATTGCCAATTTGTACTGCCAGCTTGTTTTAAACGGTGACTGTACAAATTTAGGTGTTGTGTTGAGCTGTCAGATGGCGTAACAGATCTAGGGACACTAGCTATATTTAAGAAATAGATGCTGGTTGTAGCATTTTAGTTCAGCTTCTTTCCTAAATGCAGACAGATGGATTTTATTTTTTTTTTTGGCTTTCTCTTTTCATGAGAAAGAGCAGTATTATGCTCCAAATAATTGTCCTAAAGCAGTACGAAAGTAAGGCTATCAGAAAGAAAATCAAGTCCACAGCTAGCTACACTGACTGAGGAAACAACACTGGTATCTCCTGTCTGCAAGTATGTTGCCTTGAGCATAGTTAGTGGTGCAGCATGACCAAGGCATGAAAGACCAACGTGTGAATGAAATGTGCTTTCCATTGAATGATCTGACAATATTAGATTTCATTCTTTGAATTACATAGCCATAATTTGATTAAATGTGCTAGTGGTCTCTTCTGTTTTAACATATGCTACGCTTGCCAGTGGTCAGAAATTTTTGATGTAGAGAGTACTTTACAAGCTCATGATAGAGGAGAAGAAATCCAATTGTAGGCTTCTCAAGTAACATTTTTTTTTAAATTCACTTTTAATTGGTATCAACAGAGTTAATTTCTGCTATGCATATGACTTGCCTGCTAAGCATTCAGAGACTGTTGGTTTACTATCAGAAATATTGGGGGAGTGGAGGTTAAGTTCTCTTATTTAAAATTTTGAACCTGAACACATATTTACAATTGTTTTAAAACAAAAATGCCAGTGTAGTTTGCTCCTTAATCACTAATACAATGTTGTTTCTAACAATTTTATTGATTTTTGATGAGTTTTTTGACGATAGATGCTTCTGGAAAAGGTCATGTGTGTTGAAAGTATTGGGAGGTGTCATGAGGAGCTTTAGCCCACATCTTGTATGTTGCAGATTTTATGAAATTGTGCAGTAGAGCATGTCACAGATGCTGCAGGTGTCAGTCACAGACCACAGTTTGGCTTTGTGATGCTTCTTTGTGTTTTGTGCAGTTTTACAATGAACTTTGAATGTAATTTGGTGTTGTTGCTTTGAGGGAGTCTATCCCTGTTCTCTATTGAGTGGAAAATTATGCCACGAAATACAGCTTTTCTGGTTAGTCTGAGGTAGAATTAAGTTTGTTTTTTTTTTTTTTTTTTTTTTTTTTTTTTTGTTGTTGTTGTTTTTTTTTTTTTTTTCAAGGCAGTATTTGTTTCCTTGCAATCTACTAATATGAAAGCCTTCATAAACTGCAGCTTAGATATAACAAACAGAGAATGTTCAAAGCAGGCAGAAAATAAGTTAAGAAAATTTCCCCCTAATATACTAGCAATAGCAGCAGTAGATTATTATCATTATAATTTAAAAAGTAAATACTTTTTTCAAGGAAACTTTTTGTTATGTTATGGATGCTGCGTTCTGTCTGCCTGATCTTAAGATTCATATATCTTTGCTGTGACAAAGCCTGTATGGGGAAATGGTTATTGATACAATGACTTGCCATTCAGATAATTTTTTAATTTGTTTTTAATGAAAACCCACACAAAATCAAGAATGGATCACAGATATTTACTATCAATGGTACCATGGGGAAAATGGGCAAAGGCAACAATGTCAGTGTCATTATAATCCAGATATGGTAAAAAGTAAAATCTAGTGCATACAAATTTCAACTCCCCAGAGAATGAGAATATAATACCAGAAAGTAGTAGCTTCTCCATTAAAAAAAATGTTGAATAATTAAAAAACCCCGTAATACTGTAGTTTAAGAACAATCTAAAACTGTAGGGTTGGAATTCTTAAAATGGTTACTGCTTTTATGAATTTTTAGGATTAATTATAGAAGTGGAAAAAATACATTTTATATATGACTAATTTTTTTGGTTCCCCCCCCCCCCCCCCCCCCCCATTAAATTTACTTTTTGAGAAATACACTTTTTTCTCTCTTCTGAGGAGAAAAAACAAATGAAAACTCTCTGTTAGCTGAATAAAGATTTTTTGGCATACAGAGCATGGAAATTCTCAGACAGCAATTTTTAATATTCTTTTTTATCTTTAGATTGTGCATGTAATCTTGGAAAATAAACTGGCAAAATTGATTCAATATTGACTTTATTTTATTGTACAACTAATCTGAAATAATAGGACTAAGAGCTATGAACCATCTTCCTTTATAGTAAAAATTTAACACTGAAACCTACTCATGATGAATTTCATGTTTGCGACAAATGTTTTTCTACCCCAAGTCTATGCAGTTCTTTGAAAGGCAAATGAATATCTATTTATACTGCTTATGAAATTTTTAGTATAAATCCTGAAACTAGATTTTAAGAGAGAGAAAGCTATGATACCTATCTATTTCAGTTATTTCTAAGTTTAGAAAGAATTTTCAGAATCTCTTCACTTCATATTATGGATTTGCAGACCTTTCTGAGTTCTGTTTAAAGTGAAAAGTAACTTTTCCTGTATTGCTCTAAGAAACATTTGTATCAGTAGAATGTTTCACAGACCAGATGTGGCTTATTAACATATTTAATACACAATATACAGCAAAGAAAGAGATTGCTACTTCTAAACAGACATTTTTTCTTTTTATCAATATTCTTCTGTCAGTTTTATAAATTTAAATACTCTTTGTGGAAAAGGTAGGATATCTTTATCAAAAATAATAAGATGGCTTCTGTAATATACAGAACCATATATTCAATCAACCCTTTAAATACAGAAAGATTTTCTAGGACCTCCATTTTTAACTGGCAGGGAATGCTGGTCAAAACAAATGGTATTGTCCTGATAACAATAATTGACAGTTAAAATGGCCTAGTCTTTTCTCTAATGACTATATCTATTAAAGTAGCATCCTGTTTGGGAACAGCTGTTGAACCTCTAAGCTTACTCATCCTTGGAGACTTGTTTTCTATCAATGGCTGCAATAGCAGATTGGAGGTGATGAAATCTCTGGTTAGGTTCTCACAGCTGAGCACTGTTCCCTGATGAAGAAGCTTTAGGAGGTTATGGGAATCACTGGTGATGTGCCTTTGTGCAACAGTTGTTCCTGGCCTTCATCTCTGAGGAGTACTAACAAACATGAAAAACATTATTCACCACTGTTAAAACACTGTAGACTTCCAAGGTGCTTTATGAATCTGTAGGAAGAGGTACTCTATGTTGATAAAAACTTGCTTTCCCTCTTTAGTGTCAATGAATGAGTGTGGTGTTAGCTACCTTGCCCAAAAAACTTTCAATTCACAAGGGAAAACACATCCAAAAATAAACATGAAAGAGAAGACTACACACAAGGAGTTCCGGTCACGCACATCCTGTCGGGTCACTGGTTTGCTCCACCCCTAATAGTTGGATTCTTTTAAACGTACTAGGAGTGAAATGAATGTATTTGTGCAGTGTTATCATTACAGGAGTGCTCTGTAGTTCATCCTCAAGCTTTGTTCTTTCATGCAGTTGCAAACTGATTCAAACTCAGACAGGAAGGGAGTGAATCTGCTGAGAGGTGACTTATTTTTAGAGGTCTTTCCTACCACAGTGAATTACTCAGCCTTCCTTGGATAACATACAAATAACCAACTTCCTTTTGTGTGGAATAAGATTATGTTAGAAGTTACTGAATATGATGTGAGAAACATTTGTTCTTGAGTAAATGAAGAACAGCTATTACTTCAGTATGCAGTAACTTTGGAGAGAGGGATTCTTGGCCCCTATAAGGTCAGAATGAATATTTTAATTATTTTTTGCTCATATTCAGCAGCACTTGCTCAGCTTGTAGTCTGATAAACAGTAGCATAACTTGCTTCATGCTTTTGCCCATCTGATGGTAATTCAGTAGCCCTCAGCAGACTTCACTGTTCTGAAATGATAGTTTTGGGAGAAGCAGCTTTTTTACCGTCTTTGTTTTCTGAACACTGTGAATGTTAGTTTTTAATGAGCTAGTTTAAAAATAGATTCTCTATCAGAATGGAGGAAATCTTACATATTCAATGGAATGCTGTGTAGGAAATACATGTATGAAATGGTATGCTGTCTTAACCGTTGTAGCAGTTCAGTGAAATTTCTGAATAAGGCTTAAAGTTCGTCAGAATTGAGACCACCGCTCTCAGTGCCTTTGCATGTAATACTGGTTTGTCTTTTTAAGGTATATCTAATCATATCTCTTCTCTCGAGGTATAATAGAATCTTATGCCTCATTTGTGTGTCAGGATTATGGCAGTAGGAATTAGGAAGGTACTGTAAAAATACATTAATGAAAATGAACGTGTAAGGATTTTCATTTGTTTTATCAATTTAGCCATGCTCTAAGTA